TGCCCAGAGAGGCTGTGGAGGCTCCTTCTCCGGAGATCTTCCAACCGGCCTGGATGCCGCCCTGTGCCCCGTGCCCTGGGTGTCCCTGCTGGAGCAGGGGCTGGACTGGATGAGCCCTAGAGGTCCCTGCCAACCTCAACCATCCTGTGCTTCTGCGTGTCCAGCTGGGCCAGAGGAAGGTCCTGATCCCAGGACTTCCTCTACCTCCTCTGCTCAGGTCCCACTGAGAAAGGTGCCACCTTGAGGGGCTTCTGCAACCCCACGACATCTGCCATGTTCCGAGGTGCTGTTTTTGCTCTGGGAGAACTGAGGATAAAGCCCTCAGCACCGTAGCACCTTGGGAGCAGTTCAGGCTTTTCTCAGGTTTCTGTGCCTTTCGCTCACACGTGGGGCCCATGGGGCGAGCGGCTGCTCTCCGCTCCCCTGAACAGACAAGTCTGTGTGTAAAAAGGCTCCAAGAAGCCAACACACAAGGGGATTTTGGAAAAATGCCCTTGAAAATGTAACACTTCTTGCAGAACTTCAGCCACCACCAGTGACTAACGTGCTACAGAATGCCAGAGCAGTTTAACCAGGAGCTATTTTTGCAAGCCTGCTATGGCATTACCAAAGCCGATCTGGAGCATCCCAATCTTCACGTGTCCTGGGTCTCCTCAGCGAGAGTCCCTGGAGCTGCCTTTCAGGGAGGTGATATCGGGGCCTCCAGCCTCTCAGCTCCTCACCTGAAGCTCTGAAAGTCTCTTCATCCACAGGTTCAACTTATTCCCCCTGTCGGACCTCTCCACATTTAGTTCAGAACATGAGGAACCAAATCCCTTCTGAATCCCCCCCATTGGGATCTCTCCCCAGTGCGAGAAACCTCCGAACCCCCGGGCACCAAAACAGCAAGGAGGGCCAAGGAACCCCCAGGCACCAAAACAACAAGGAGGGCCAAGGAGAACCTCATGGGAGAGAGGCAGCAGAGTGGGGACGCGTTGCCTCCTCGGGAATCCTTTCCCACGCGGAAGCGCTCGGAGCCCCGCGGCCGCGGAGCCCGGCAGGGCTCGGGGGCTGCTGCCA